GAGGTTTCCTCGATATTCACAGCCGAGTTATATGCAATTTGCAGGGCACTAAAACTAATTGAGAGAAACGAATGGAGTAAGAGTGCGATTTTTTCTGACTCTAAAAGAGCGTTAGACGCTATTCAATTCTCGCAATATTCAGCAAAAATAAATTATATTGTTCTCCAAATCAAGGACAGGTTGAGTCTCTTGGAAAGTATTGGGTCAGAGGTCTCGCTGTGCTGGATACCGGGACATGCTGGAATCCCTGGGAACAAAAGGGCGGAAGCGTTGGCGAGTGAGGGTCATATAGCCAATATCACGGATCTACTTGTTCCGTTCTCGGATATCAGCGAAATAATTAACAAGGAAGAAAGGGTTAAAAGGCAGTACCTATATGAAATCAGGTCAGAGAACAAGGGAAAGTATTATTTCGAGGGCAATCCGAGGTGGGAATGATACCATGGTTTCAAGAGTTAAAGTTTACTAAGAAATCTGAAATATAAGCTCTGTGCAGATTACGAACGGGCCATAACAGATCTGCAGCTCATCTTTTTAAGATGAATTTGGTGGATTCACCGCACTGTGAGATGATATCCACCACTAATCACATTTTTTTTAATGTGAAAACAACAGTGCTGCTACAAAAGTGCTCATAAGTGGACTAATCACTCAAAAAGTTTACCTTCCAACATCAATAGACGTCCTGTTAAGGATGAAGGATATAAAGATATATAGACTGATTTTAAATTTTATAAAAAAACTCTGGATGTGTTGTTTGAATATTTATTATATATGTGTTTATTCTTTTAGTTTAGTCTTTTTTGTGCCTTGTTACCCCTTATTAATCTTTTTTAACACTTTTTATTTACCGATCCGAGGCCTTCCCACACTGTGATAAGAGCTGATTGGTCCCTGCGCGTGAAAAGTTTGTATAAATGTTGAATTATTTTTTGTTATTTTTATTATTTATAAATTTATTGTATACTTATAAATTAGCAGGGTGATTCTGTGTAATTGTCTTTAGACATCTTAATAGTCCATTCACCTTTTTATTGTTATATTTTTTATTTTTTGCTTGTTTATAGACACTTTTAGATTGTTTGTACTAGACATTGACTGGCTACATACACTGTAAGGCATTGTAATTTCAATTTTTCAACTTTGAACGCGTATTACAGCAATATGGATAAGAGCACAGGAATGTATCTATACTTGCTGGATTCCCCAAATATTCAGCTTTCATATACATATATTGGATTCATTCTATCTATTATAGTTTTGAGTAAATCAATGAAATGTGAAAACACTGCTTTTTCGAACGTTCTAATTTCAGAGCACAGGAATGTATCTATATTTTAGCAGATATTTGGAAAATTGCTCACTGCTACTAATATTCGTTTTTCCTTTCTCAATATTCCTCTGCAACCAAACTGAAATGATACTGTGATCCACTCTGATCAGCATTAATCCATTTGAACTGCAGGCGGTTGGGCAAATTAATTGATTTTTAATGCACTAATGTCTACGATAGAATAAAGTTATTAAAAAAAAAGAACCAACTTTCGAAGTAAATTACCTTAGTTGAACACAATTAAAAGTAGATATTCAGTTTGTTTTTAAAATTAACATGAATGTATATCTACTCACAGAGGGACCAAGTCATATGAGATATTTGTTGTATAGCCACTGCGGTGACGTTCCTTAGTACATCGGCAAATAATTTAAAATTTCAAACAATAAATAACTTTGGCATAAATGTTGCCTATATTTACTTTATCATTTTAAATAGTTTTTATTGATTTAACGTTTTCTCACTATTTACATTTGGAACCACGACTGCTTGACTACTTTTAACCGAGCTTGTTCTGATCCAAATAAGTTAAATTATTATTAAACATAGTAGGTCTTTTTTAATACTTGTATTAATAGTGATTATACTATTAATTAGAGAGTATTATTAAATTATAATATAGACAGTGCCGGTGCCAATTGCAAGCCCGACAACCGAAATACCGTCAATCAAATTCCCGACTTGGATCCTACGTCGGCTACATGTATTCCAGAGGCAGTAATAGAAAAAGATTTGGATCCTGTGATTTTGGATACTAAAAGTATTCAAGAGAAAGGAACAGAAGAAGAATTGGATCCTACGCTGGCTAAATGTGTTCCAGAAGAAGAAATAGCAGAAGAATTTCCTACTTTAAGCGAATAAAAAAATCGCCTAAATTATAAACTTATAAATGTGTAATTATTAAAAAGGAAATCTAATGTTTGAAGAAAACCAATACAATCTATTATTTTCATAAAAGTGATAAAAGTACAACTTTTTTTTTGTTATTGTAATAAATTATATTGCATCCATTAAGAAAGTTGTGCGAGCTAAGTTACATACTTCCAATCTTTTCAAGGTGGAAGGAAAAGAACAGAACACTATAAGAAGAGAAATAAGTAAATTCATTGATAATGCGTTTGCGCGTATTTTGTTTACTTTTTGGAACGCTGATGTCAGCTGATGTTCTATTCAAGCTAGTAAACTAGGTTATGTGTTATGAATTATAGTTTTGTTTACTTATTTGGCGACATTCTTTAGGAAACTTGAGTGATCTGAGGTACTCTGCCTGTGTTCCTTAAAACTTTAAAATGTCTACTTCAGGCTTCTTTTGCTCTGTTTGTGTAAAAACATATGCAAACCGTTCAAATTTAAGGACCCACATACAATTATGCCACCCTGGTAAAGTATAACTTACAATTTGTTTTCATTATTGTACATTATTTATTTTACAGATCAGCTTAATGAAATTGCTCCAAAAAAAAAGAACTATGATTGTGAATTTTGTTCAGAAACTTTTAAAAACAAAATTCTTTTCAACAGACATCGCAAGGTTCATACCTCAGGACTGAAATGTCCTTTATGTGAAGTTATAGATGTCAAACCGGCATTAATTCAACATTTTACATTGGTTCACAATGTAGATATCAATATTGAACAATTTGATTTTCAAACATTTGAAGAGTTTAATAGCTGGAAGGAACAGATAGAAGAAGAAAATACAGTATTCTTTAGCAATCGACATGGTACAGTCAAATCTATTACATTTACCAGGAAAAGATATGAGTGCAATAGGTCAGGAGCATATCAAAGCCAAAGCAAAGGCTCAAGACATTTGAAGAATGGTTCGAAAAGAATGAATGCGTATTGTCCTGCATCCATAATTCTTGATTATAAAAATGGTATTTACAATGTTAAATATACAAGTACCCACATAGGACACACAAATGAATTACGTCGTATACCTCTTACAAAGACTGACAGATTGATTTTGGCAGGTAAATTGGCATACATTTTGTCACATTAAATTCCAAGAAAATAACAATTTATTGTTCACAGATAAAGTGGCAAATAAGATTCCATTTGATTCCATTATAGAAGACATTAAAGGTTCACTTCAAGATTCGAACTTGGAGCGAATTCATCTTGTCACAAAGCAGGACTTAAGGAATATAAAAAGAGACTTTCATTTAGGTAACTCCTCAATTCTAGATACAAATGATGCAGAGAGTGTAAATTTGTGGGTGCAAAAACTGAAATATACTAGCACACACATAGGACACAAAAATGAATGATGAAACATACCACAATCTATTTACCCATATGTGTTTACTTTCTAGTAGAAACTAAACTGTTAATTTATTACAGATTAAACAAACTTAATGCATGTTTCAGATAGGTTGGATGAAATTTCCCCAAACAAAATGAAATATTTATTATTTTCTATTTTTTTTTTTTCGAAAAAAGAAAAATATTTATTTATAAATCTATTGCAGATAAATTAAATAATGATATATCTAATATGGAATATCCTGAGAAGTTGCAACAAAAGAAGAAATATGATTGCAAAGAAATATTAAATTGCAAAAATAATGGAATTAAGAGGGATGGCTATGGATCTCAAATTGCTGGTAATAATTTGTATTTAATTCAATCAATTTATATAAATATAAAATAATTATTATTGTATTATTACGATAGATGAATCCAACACGCTTAAACGGGGAAAGAAAACTAAATTTAAAGAATTTTTAAGTCTTCAAAAATGTAATGATACTACCAGGGATGACTGTGAAATTCAAATTGTTGGTAATTATGTTCATTTTGCATATAGTATAATAAATTTTATTTTAGAATTGGTTGCAGGTGATACAAATAATACTAATACAGAAAATAGTGAGACGCTTGAACCAATGAAGAAGAAAAAATATAAAGAAATTTTTATTAAGAATAACTGCGATACCCAGGGTAATCATTGATTTTAATGAATTTGAAGAATTTAATATTTATTTTCAAATTGGTTGCAGATGATGCAAATGTTGTTCATGAAATAGAAGAGCTTGAGACACTTGAAGCTAGTAATGAAATTCAAGAATTTTTAAGTCGTTACGAAAGTATTGACATTGTCGAGGATAATAATGATATAGAAATTGCAGGTAATAATTTTTCTTTTGCATAGAATTGTTTGAAAATTATTAATTTATTTTTTGAAAATTATTTATTTTCAATTATGATTGCAGGTGCTGCTTTCGAATTGGTTGTAGATGATTTTGTACACTTGGTTGTAGATAATGATACTATAAAATTGATTGAAGAAAACCTAAATTATGGTATTAACTTGGAAAAACGTGAGACACTCGAAAAACTGAAAGAAAAAATGAAGAAAACATTTCTCGAGGCTTTGGATAAAGCGACTACGTATGAACAGTGCGAATTGATACGTAAAATAATTGCTCCATTGCATCCTACGCTGGATAAATGTAATCCAAAGGGAGAAATAGAAGAAGAATTTGATTTTACCCCAGCTAAATGTATTGTAGAGGAAAGAACACAAAAAGAATTGGATCCAACGTTGGCTAAATGTATTTCAGAGAAAGGAACAGAAGTATTGGATTCTAAGCTGGTTAAATGTATTCCAAAGGAAGTAATAGAAAAAGAATTATATTATATACCGGCTAAATGTATTTCAAAGCAGGAAACAAAAAAAGATTTGGGACCTACATCGGCTAAATGTAAGCCAAAGAAAGGAAAAAATAAAATATTGCACCCTGCGCTGGCTAAATGTATTTCAGATGATGGAACACAAAATGAATTAGATCCAACGCCAGCCAAATGTATTTCAGATAAAGGAACAGAAGTATTGGATTCTATGCTGGTTAAATGTATTCCAAAGGAAGTAATAGAAAAAGAATTATATCATATACCGGCTAAATGTATTTCAACGGAGGAAACAAAAAAAGATTTAGGACCTACATCGGCTAAATGTAAGCCAGAGAAAGGAAAAAATAAACTATTGCACCCTGCGCTGGATAAATGTATTTCAGATGATGGAACACAGAATGAATTAGATCCAACGCCAGCGAAATGTATTCCAGAGAAAGGAACAGTAGAAGAATTGGATCCTACTTCAGGCGAATCAAAAAATCGCCTAAATTGTAAACAAAAGGAATTAATAACTCCTACTTTAGACGTTTTAAAAAATCGACTAAGTCATGATCAAAAGCAATCTGCCATAACGCTGAACTATAAACCATTAGCGTATAAATGTATACTTATTAAAAAGAAAAGCTAATGTTTCAAGAAAATCAATACAATACATTATTTTCATAAAAGTGACAAAGTAAAACTTTTTTTTTGTTATTGTTATTAAAACACTTTTAAATATCAATTTTCGGATTATTTATTTTATATTTGTATAGTTTAATAGAAGCACTTGATTAACATTCATACGTTTGTACACTTCATATTGTTTTTGATTATGAATATTATCGAAAAGCTGTGCATTGTAAATGTATCAGTTCCTAGGTATTTCGAATACAACTTGTTTCGATTTCAAAGATGATATTAATTAAGAGAAAAAAATAAATTTGATTTTGTTAAAAAGAGTGAAACTGAAAACATCAATTTACATTATGGCATACTTTAATAATTCACCAACCTTTTTGAACTCCCGGACTACTAAACTCAAAATTATGATTCTAAATATGAAATTATACTTGCTCTTGTTTTCGCATTGCGACTTTTATAAAAATGCACCGTAATAAGGCGAAAATTACAAAAAAAAAGTACAATCAAAATATAAAAATAATCAAAAATTGTGAATATATTCAAATTACTTTGCGGATCGCATGAGAAATGCTGATACGAGTGTGCGCGCGCATTGTTTACATTAATTTTGGCGCATTGTTTACTTTTGAAATTGCTGTAGCCCTTTTGTTTGGGGTTTGCAAAGCATTTCATGGCATTATTTGGACGCCATTTCTTCAGAATATACGTGTGAGTTGTGCTGGTGCTTATAGTGATTGATATAATGTCTTCCGGATTTGTTTGTACTGCTTGTGCAAAAACATATTCTTGCCATTCCTCCAGGTAAAATATAAATTTATTTCTATTAATTATTATAAATTATTTAATTCATCTTACAGATAGCTTGGACGAGATTGCACCAAATAAAATTAAATACGAGTGTGAGTATTGTTTACAAACTTTTACCAATCAAAGAGTTTACAATAAACACATGAAAGCTCGTTCAACATTGAAGTGTCCACTATGTGAATTCAATGATGCCAACGATTGACCATTTCAAAACAATGCATAATGTAGATGTGAAAGTGGATAACTTACAATTTAAATCCATTGATGAATTTAATGTTTGGAAAAAACAAACGGAAGATCAACATAAAGTTCTGTTTACCAACAATCATGGTACAATGAAAACCAGCTCATATTCTCGGACAATATATAATTGTCATAGAACAGGTTATTATAAAACTAAAGGCCATGGAGAAAGACACATGAAAACCACAGGCCCAAAAAAATTAATGCCTTTTGTCCTGCAGAAATTATTTTGCTAGACCAAAATGGAATCTACAGTGTAAAATACACAAGTACACACATAGGACACAAAAATGAACTTTGTCACATTACTAAACTTCCAGAAAAAGGAAAATTGATTTTGGCAGGTAAATTACATCAGATTTTGTAGGTAATTCCATAATTTGAATGAAAATGTTTATAACATGGAGTCAAGGCATGTGTAACCACACAATTATGTCAAAGTTTAAGCATGTAAACAAAGGCTTTCAAAATACTCTTAAATTACTGATTTAGCATTTTCTTGCCATTCAAGTTTGCCATATAAAATGATTATTTCTTGATATGTTTAATGAGACATACTATAACCTATTTACACATCTTTCTTTACATTTAAGAAGAAACTAAAAAATCCTCGTAATTTATTACTGAGTAAACATGTTGCATGTTTTAGATTGGTTGAATGAAATTACCACATTCTAAAAAAAAAAGACTTAGGTTGAAGCAATTATTATTTATTTTTAAATCTATTGCAGATAATAGTAATATTATAAAATATCCTGAGAAGTTGCCAAGAACGAAGAAAATACAGTGCAAAAATAATGGTACTAACAAGGATGGATGTGAATCTCAAATTGCTGGTAATAATTTGCATTTTACATTGAATTCAATCAATTTATAAAAATATGAAAGAATTATTATTGTATTATTACGATAGATGAATGCAATTCGCTTAGACGGGGAAAGAAAAGTAAATTTAAAGAATTTTTAAGTCGTCAAAAATGTAATGATGATGACTCTGACTTCGAATTGGTTGCAGATGACACAAATAATAGTATTAATACAGAAGATCCTCAGACGCTAGAACCAATAAAGAAAAAACAATATAAAGACATTTTAAGTCGTCACAAAAATGTCGCTTTTATTAAGGATAACTGCGATACCCAAGGTAATAATTGATTTTAATGAATTTGATTCTTCAATTTAATATTTATTTTTGAATTGGTTGCAGATGATGCAAATTTTGTTGATGAAATAGAAGAGCTTGAGACACTTGAAGGTAGAGAGAAAATTGCGGGCAATATTTTTGCTTTTGCTTAAAAATTAATGAATTTATTTTTCAAGTGAAAGGAATTATTATTTATTTTCAATTATAGTTGCAGGTGATGCTATAGAATTGGTTGTAGATCATACTATAAATTTGGTTGAAGAAAACGTAAATAATGGTATCCTCTTGGAAAAGCCACAGACGCAGAAAGATGCTTTCGAATTGTTTTTAGATGATAATACCATAGAATTAGTTGAAGAAAATCTAAATTATGGTATTAACTTGGAAAAGCCCGAAACAGTCGAAGAATTGAAAGAAAAAATGAAGAGAACGTTTCTCGAGGCTTTGGATAAAGCGACTACGTATGAACAGTGCGAAGTGATACGTAAAATAATAGCTCCATTGTATCCTACGCTGGATAAATGTATTCCAAAGGGAGGAATAGATGAAGAATTAGCTACATGTATTGCAGAGGAAAGAACACAAAAAGAATTAGATCCAACGTTGGCTAAATGTAATCCAGAGAAAGGAACAAATGAAGCATTGTACCCTGCGCTGGCTAAATGTATTGCAGAGGAAGCAACACAAAAAGAATTGGATCCTACGTCGGCTATATGTATTCCAGAGGCAGGAATAGAAAAAAAATTGGATCCTGTGATTTTGAATACTAAAAGTATTCCAGAGAAAGGAACAGAAGAAGAATTGGATCCTACGCTGGCTAAATGTATTCCATAAGAAGGAATAGAAGAAGAATTTCCTACTTTAAGCGAATCAAAAAATCGCCTGAATTATAAACCATTAGCTTATAAATGTATATTTATTAAAAACAAAAGCTAATGTTTGAAGAAAATTAATACAATACATTATTTTCATAAAAGTGATAAAAGTACAACTTTTTTTTTGTTATTGCAATAAATTATATTTTATCTATTAAAGAACGTATAAATGTAATTTTCGTATAATTTTTATTTGTTTAATAGACGCTTCTTTTTAAATTGCATTGAATCCCTATAAGAAAGTTGTGCGATCGTGCGACCTAAGTTGCATACTTCCAGTCTTTTCAAGATGGAAGGAAAAACAACACAATAAGAAGAGAAATAAGTAAGACATCCCATTGAAGGTTATGATTTACTGATAATGCGTTTGCGCATATATTGTTTACTTTTGGAAACACTAATGTTCTACTGAAGCTAGTAAACTGGGTTATGAATTATAGTTTTGTTTACATTTTTGGCGACATTGTTTAAGAAACTTGTGTGATCTGTGTTCATTAAAACTTTAAAATGTCTACTTCAGGCTTCTTTTGCTCTGTTTGTGAAAAAACATATTCATCCCATTCAAATTTAAGGACCCATGTAAAATCAAACCATCCTGGTAAAGTTTAACTTATAACTTGTTTTCATTATTGTAAGTTATATAATTTATATTACAGATCAGCTTAATGAAATTGCTCCAAATAAGATTAAGTATAATTGTGAAATTTGTTCTGAAAGTTTTACTAACAAAGCTCTTTACAACAAACATTACAAGGTTCATACCTCGGGACTGAAATGTCCTTTATGTGAAGTTATTGATGTCAAACCAGCATTAATTCAACATTTTACATTGGTTCACAATGTAGATATCAATATTGAACAATATGATTTTCAAACAATTGAAGAGTTTAATAGCTGGAAGGAACAGATAGAAGAAGAAAATACAGTATATTTTCCCCAGGACCATGGTACATTCAAAACTGCTACCTATACCCGGACAAAATATCAGTGCCATAGGTCAGGAACATATCAAACGAGAGGAATAGGCAAAAGACATTTGAAGATTGAGGGCTCGAAAAAAATTAACGCATTTTGTCCTGCATCCATAATTCTTGATTATAAAAATGGTATTTACAATGTTAAATATACAAGTACTCACATAGGTCACACAAATGAATTACGTCGTATACCTCTTCCAAAGAGTGACAAATTGATGTTGGCAGGTAAATTGGTATACATTTTGTTATATTAATTTCCAAGAAAATAACAATTTATTGTTCACAGATAAATTGGCAAATAAGATTCCTTTTAAAACCATTATAGAGGACATTACAGGTTCACTTCAAGATTCAAAATTGGAGCGAATTCATCTTCTCAAAAAGCAGGACTTAAGAAATATAAAAAGGGACTTTAATTTGAATAACTCTGCAATTCTAAATACAAATGATGCAGAGAGTGTAGATTTGTGTGTGCAAAAACCGAAATATACAAATACACCCTTTGGACACAAAAGTGAACTTTGTCCAGAGAAAGACAAATTGATTTTGGCAGGTAAATTAACAGCTAATATTACATTTAAAAATATTGGATTATGTCAGATGTTAAACATGATGCAATTATTATTTATTTTTAAATTTATTTCAGATAATACATATAATGTTATATATAATATAGAATATCCTGAGAAGTTGCAAAGAAAGAAAAAAAAACAGTGCAAAGAAATATTAAGTTGCAAAAATAATGGAACTAAGAGGGATGGCTGTGAATCTCAAATTGCTGGTAATTATGTTCATTTTGCATATAATATAATAAATTTTATTTTAGAATTACTTGCAGGTGGTACAAATATTATTATTACAGAAAATAGTGAGACGCTTGAACCATTGAAGAAAAAACAATATAAAGAAATTTTAAGTGGTCACAAAAAAGTCGCTTTTATTAAGAATAACTGCGATACCCAGGGTAATCATTGATTTTAATGAATTTGAAGAATTTAATATTTATTTTCGAATTGGTTGCAGATGATGCAAATGTTGTTCATGAAATAGAAGAGCTTGAAGCTAGTAATGAAATTCAAGAATTTTTAAGTCGTTACGAAAGTATTGACGTTGTCGAGGATAACAATGATATACAAATTGCAGGTAATAATTTTTCTTTTGCATAGAATTGTTTTAAAATTATTAATTTATTTTTTGAAAATTATTTATTTTCAATTATGATTGCAGGTGATGCTTTCGAATTGGTTGTAGATGATTCTGTACACTTGGATGTAGATGATGATACGATACAATTGGTTGAAGAAAACCTAAATTATGGTATTAACTTGGAAAAGCGCGAGACACTCGAAAAACTGAAAGAAAAATTGAAGAAAACGTTTCTCGAGGCTTTGGATAAAGCGATTACGTATGAACAGTGCGAATTGATACGTAAAATAATTGCTCCATTGCATCCTACGTTGGATAAATGTATTCTAATGAGAGGAATAGAAGAAGAATTTGATTTTACCCCGGTTAAATGTATTGCAAAGAAAAGTAAGGACCCAAAGCTGGCTAAATCTATTTCAAGGAAAGGAACAGAAGTATTGGATCCTATGCTGGCTAAATATATTCCAGAGAAAGGAATAAAAAAAAGATTAGATCATATGTCGTCTATATTAAAGAAGAAAACACAAAAAGAGTTAGTATCTATGCCGTCTAAATGTAATCCAAAGAAAAGAACAAATGAAGTATTGGACCCTGCGCTGGCTAAAAGTATTTCAGATGATGGAATACAAAAAGAATTAGATCCTACGTCTGCTAAACGTATTTCAGAGAAAGGAACAGAAGTATTGGATCCTATGCTGGTTAAATGTATTGTAAAGGAAGGAATAGAAAAAGAATTAGATCATATACTGGCTAAATGTATTTCAACGGAGGAAACACAAAAATATTTAGGACCTACATCGGCTAAATGTAAGCCAAAGAAAGGAAAAAATAAAGTATTGCACCCTGCGATGGCTAAACGTATTTCAGATGATGGAACACAAAAAGAATTAGGTCCTAAGTCGTCTAAGTGTATTCCAGAGCAAGGAACAGTAGAAGAATTGGATCCTACTTCAGGCCAATCAAAAAATCGCCTAAATTGCGAAGAAATGGAATTAAAAACTCCTAATTTAGACGTTTTAAAAAATCCGCTAAATTGTGATCAAAAGCAATCTGCCATAAAGCTGAACCATAAACCATTAGCTTATAAATGTATAATTGTTAAAAAAAAGCTAATGTTTGATGAAAATCAATACAATACATTATTTTCATAATAGTGATAAAGTACAACTTTTTTTTTGTTATTGCAATATGTTTATTTCCAATTATATTATATATTAAAAAAAACTTTTAAAAATCAATTTTCGTATTATTTATTCTATATTTATATCGTAATTGTAATTGGTGGACAAAAGCAAAGTGACGTGGCACTTAATTATTAGTATCTTCAATAGAAAAATAATAATTAATTTGCTTGTGGATGTGATTTTGTTTTTCATTGAGTTATGTATTTTTATTTATTATGGTATCGACTGGCTACATGCATTCCGTTGTGCGACCTAAGTTACAAACTAGCACTCGTTTCGGAGTGGAAGGAACAGAACCGAAATCCCGATTATATCAAAATCTCGACAACCATAATCCCGACTGTATCAAAATCCCGACTATATCGAAAATTACTACAATAACATTTTTAAATTATATCGGAGCGTTGTCACCTTGTGCTGCACTTTTATTATTAATAACAATAAATTATTATTAATTTATTTGATTTTGTTGAATTATTCATAATAAACCTTAACATTATGAAATAATCTCAAATACAATTAAATTATTAATTGCTGTTATTTATAATTAATAACAATTTAAAAGTGACTACGCTCCGGAATAATTTAAAAATGTTATTGAAGACATTTTCTGCGTGATGATACTATAAAATTGGTTGAAGAAAATGTAAATAATGATATTAACTTGGAAAAGCTTGAGACTGTCGAAGAACTACAAGAAACAATGAAGAGAACGTTTCTTGAGGCTTTGGATAAAGCAACTACGTATGAATACGTAAAATAATAGCTCCATTGTATCCTACGCTGAATAAATGTATTCGAAAGGGAGGAACAGATGAAGAATTGGCTACATGTATTGCAGATGAAAGAACACAAAATGAATTGGATTCAACGCTGGCTAAATGTAATCCAGAGAAAGGAACAAATCAAGTACTAGACCCTGCGCTGGCTGAATGTATTGCAGAGAAAGGAACAGAAGAAGAATTGGATCCTACGCAAGCTAAATGTATTCCAGAAGAGGGAATATAAAAAGAATTTCCTACTTTAAGCGAATCAAAAAATCGCCTAAATTGTGAACAAAAGCAATCTTCCGTAACGCTGAATTATAAACCATTAACTTATAAATGTATATTTATTAAAAAGAACAGTTAATGTTTGAAGAAAAACAAGACAATATGAAGAGAAATAAGTAAGACATCCCATTGAAAGTTATGATTCATTGATAATGCGTTTGCGCGTATTTTGTTTACTTTTAGGAACGCTGATGTCAGTTGATGTTCTATTGAAGCTAGTAAACTGGGTTATGTGTTATGAATTATAGTTTTGTTTACATTTTTGTCGGCATTGTTTAAGAAACTTTTGTTACCTATTGTATTGTGTTCCTTAAAACTTTAAAATGTCTACTTCAGGCTTCTTTTGCTCTGTTTGTGCAAAAACATATGCAAACCATTCAAATTTAAGGGCCCATGTAAAATTACACCACCCTGGTATAGTATAATTATAATTTGTTTGCATTATTGTACATTATTTATTTTACAGATCAGCTTAATGAAATTGCTCCAAATAAGATTAAGTATAATGTGAAATTTGTTCAGAAAGTTTTAACAACAAAGCTATTCTTTTCAACAAACATCCAAGGTTCATACCTCAGGACTGAAATGTCCTTTATGCGAAGTTATTGATGTAAACCAGCATTAATTGAACATTTTACATTGGTTCACAATGTAGATATCAATTTGAACATCATGACTTTAAAACAATTGAAGAATTTAATAGCTGAAAGAAACAGATAGAAGAAGAAAAACCAGTATTCTTTCCCAAGCGACCAGGAACATTAAATCTGCTACTATACCCGACAAGATATCAGTGTCATAGGTCAGGAACATATCAAAGAGAAGGCAAAGGCCTAAGACATTTGAAGATTAAAGGCTCGAAAAGAATTAATGCGTTTTGTCCTGCATCTATAATTCTTGATTATACAAATGGTATTTACAAT